CTCGCTTAGCGATGTTAATTCGTTCCGAAAAATCATTTCATCGCTAAGCGAAATGCGGTTTCCCATTGAAATGCATTGAAAACCGGATAATCCATTCCAAAAGGAACGAATTGCCGTCCTTAAGCGAAAATCGCCATAGGAAACATCGCTAAGCGAAACGCGGTTCCCCAATTGAAATGCATTGAAACCTATTCAATGCATCTCAATGGGGGAAAAATACAACAACAAATTAAAAAAGAGTCAGAACAAAGTCAAATTTGGTTAACAAAGGGTTTATTAAGTGCAGTTTATGATTTCAAACATTTTAAACAGTAAACTTTAACTTTATAAATAACAGAAAAACATTTAAAAAACAGCAAACATGAGGCTGTTTAAACCATCGTTAAGCGAAACAGGGGACTCAAAATTTAATTGCTATGTGAAGCATGGTCCCAACCATCGCTAAGTGAAAATCGCCCATAGGGACCATCGCTAAACAAAGTACAAAAACGCTCCGAAAAAGTCATTGCTAAACGATCTCATTGCTAAACGGAGCGCCTGTTAAGCGAGGCACCACTGTATATATATATGCATCACATTGTACGCTGGGCTTCTTTAAAATGTTGGATTTGTAACAATATATAAAATAATTGCCAAGAATCCCTGGGATTCAATGTTTCATTGCATCACAATGTACCCTGGGCTTCTTTAAAATGTTGGATTTGTAACAATATATAAAATAATTGCCAAGAATCCCTGGGATTCAATGTTTCATTGCATCCAAATGCTTAAATGCAGTGTGTTGTAGTTACTGGCTCATGTGGTCCATTATTGAAGATATACTAAGCAATGTCTTCATCTGATTAGTTTTAGTTTTATCATTAACATAATATCTGAAGTGTAGCAGAGTGATTTTCAAACCCTAACCCTAACCACAACAAGCATTGCATTTTAAAGAAATGTTGTAGATGTAGAGTTATTTATGTTATTACACTTCTGCCCCAAATTATTTTGCAATATGAAACTCTTCACACAATTCAGTTTCTGCACTTTGTTCCCTTCTCTATTGGCCGCCATTCATCATTAAAGGAATACAGTGGTGCCTCGCAAGACGAATGCCTTGTGGGACAAAAAAATCGCAAGACGAACAGGTCTTGTGAGTTTTTTGGTGCCTCACAAGATGGGCTGTCTTGCAATCTTTTTCGTTTTGCAAAGCAAGTTTTCCCATAGGAATGCGTTGAAATGTAATTAAAGCATTCCTATGGGGGGAAGTCAGAAAAAAGTCACTTACCTGGTAGTAAGACTGAGTAAACTGAGCCCCAATCCTCCTTGGTAGCCTGGGAACAGCCAGACTCTAGTGCCAAACAGCTGACCGTCAGGAAGCAGCAAAGAGGCAGCAGCCATTTTGAGATTCGACAACATGGCTGCTACCTCTCAAAATGGTTGCCACCTCTCTGCTGGTTCCCGATGGTCAGCTGTTTGGCACTAGAGTCTGGCTGTTCCCGGGCTACCAAGGAGGAGCGGGGCTTGGTCTACTCATTCTTACTACCAGGTAAGTGACTTTTTTCTGACTTTTTTCTCATAGGAATGTATTAATTTAATTTCAATGCATTCCTATGGGAAAACTTGCTTCACAAAACGAAATTTTCACAAGACAGCATTAACCATGGGATGGATTAATTTCATCTTGCAAGGCACCACTGTATCCACTTCTCCCCTATACTGGCAGTGATTTAGGTATCTGTGTGTGGAATCATAAGTTGAACATTTGAGTCACCACTATGATCCCTGCAAGCAGAACCCTGCTTGTGTGGCAAACTAAACAGGTAAACCACAAAATGAAATTTTTACAAGACAGCATTAACCATGGGACGGATTAATTTCATCTTGCAAGGCACCACTGTATCCACTTCTCCCCTATACTGGCAGTGATTTAGGTATCTGTGTGTGGAATCATAAGTTGAACATTTGAGTCACCACTATGATCCCTGCAAGCAGAACCCTGCTTGTGTGGCAAACTAAACAGGTAAACCACCTAATCTCTTCCAGGAAACCCCCCACCCCAATAAATCAGAATTGACTTGAGATACAATGATTACTATTTTTCCCCTGATCTTTGTATTGGAGTGAGAATAATTTCAATTGTATTTTAAATTTCACCATCAGTTTGTTTTATTGGCTTCCTTTCTGACTAAAGGTTGGCCAGTGGGGTTTGCAATGTGGGTTTATATGCCCAAATGAATACAAACATTCAAAAATCAAAGCCTCCATTGAGAGTTTTTTGTATCTCCAGAATATCACTCCTCTCTCCCTTAAAAAAAACTCCTAATAAGAGGGTATTGTGCTGTCTCACTGCC